TACAGGATATGATAATGAACCCATCTTGGCTGCTGGTGATCACCATTTTCTCCTTTAAATGTTTATAAATCTATTTGTCCCATACTTTTGCTAGAGAATGACAAAAATGCCACCAATGTTATTCCTAGAATCCACTCCTTTCTTTCTTTTAAAAACTGGGGCAATATTGCCCCATACAGTCGTTAGGTACTCTCCCATCTTCCTAGAAACTTTAAGGACTCTAGTGACTGCTTAAGCCTTGTGGGTCTTGACTTTGTCTTCTCCCCAGTGAAAATAATATTGATCCTTTCCATGCCACAGAGCTGTGTAAGAACCCAAGGGAATGGGAAGACACTGGGCACAGCTTAAAGTAGTCACGCAGGGTGCCAACATAGAAGTCATGTGGATCCTTGTAAGAACAGGTCCAATACAGTACAGTCACATCCTGCAGCCCCCAAAGTGAATGCCACAAGCGGGACTAGACATCATATGCGATCAGGAAGACCCCCAGCGGGGCTGAACCTGTGATCCTGGTCCTGCTGTTTAAAAGGCTTACAAACAACCCCACAGGAAGCTGAGTCAGAGCACAACAGATTGGGCCCATAGCATTTTCTTCTCTCTCCCTCTTTCTCTTTCTCCTCCCTCTTTGTCAATTTCCCTCTCTCCGAATCAGTGCTTTAGAGTAACTGTAACTACATTAGCTAATCAGGAAGCTGTCCTGTAGGCAGCTCAGGAGGGCAGAAGCTAAGAACCCAAGAACAACCTGATGCCCAAGTTACCAGCCTCATCTCCCCCAACCCCCTGCCTGGCGCAAGGTGTCTAGACTTGGATGAGCTACTCAGAGGACACACTGCCCACAATAAAAATGTGACAGGAAATTTTCCACTCCTCTCTTCAGCCTAGAGGAGTCCCCCCTGGGCTGAAAAATGCAAGAGTGAACTCAAATAACCTACCCTCTGCCAAGAGGGGCTTATGTCCACAAAAATTCTTGATAACCTTAAAGTCTTGAAATATAAACAATTATTTTGTTAGCTACAATTTTGACTTGTTTCTCTCTCCCAAGAGCAAATGAGGCTGCTGAAGTTTCACAGACTGGTTAAAGATGTGTGCAAAAATTTAGACATGACGATGTTCGCTGATGCTACTATAGCAGAAGACTGGAAATAACCTATATGTCCAACAATAGAGGGTTTAAACACATTTTGGGACACCCATAAACAGAACACTGTGTAGCTATTAAAAATCAGATTGCCAGTGAGTGGATAGAATGATGTTTACAGCATATTGTTAAAAGGAAAAAGCAAGTTACAAAAGCATAATGCTATACACACAGAGGGAAATTTTTCAAAAGATTTGTTAACAGTCATTGCAACTGGTGGAATTCTAAATGAATTTAAAATTTTTCTTCTTTATTGCTTATATGTGTTTTCCAGTTTTTCTACAGTGATGTGCATTGCTTTTGAAATAAGGGGGGCAACAAAACTTATTTTTGCTAGCTAGAAAGAAATAGGAAAAGCCCCCTCTTTCAAGGCTGTCTTCCAGCACCTTGTTCTGCCAGATGGATATGAAGCCAGGTCAGATCCCACTGTCCAGCTTGCCTAGAGCCCCGTGGAGGCCACCTTGGCTCTGGGCAGAGGCTTCCTTGGTGCCAGCATCCACCTTGAGACAAGTTATTAAAAATGGAGCTGTCCTGGCCAATCTTTCATCCTGAAGTACCAAAGGCCACTTCAGCCCAGAGAAACAGCAGTTCCAGAGCCCTGTGGGTTTTTGAAGCAGAGCAGCAGCCGTAGCTTGTGAGAGGAACCTCCCTCCCTCCTCCCGGCCGCCTGCCGAAGGTTTGCAGACAGCTCCCTTTCCATCCCACAAGAGACAGGCAGATGAGTCATAGCACTGGCTCAGATTAAAGAAGTATTATTATGTTAGCAGAAATGGATCTATTTTATTATCTGTTTTTTGACACCTTGCAAATAGATATGCCTTTCCCACCAGATAGGCAAGTTCCTTAAAAAGCCAATGATTTTGTTAAGCTGAAGCTAAGAAATGACCAATAAGAATTAGAAACGCATGTGTCTGAAGAGCAGCCAGATTGAAAAAATGTAGTGGAAACACTGAGGAAAGTGGTTTATAACCCTCAGACTCTAGATTCAAGTCTGCAAAGTGATGCCATTCTCCTAAAAATATACAGAGGATCTATGGAAATCCTTTCCTCTTCTCTAAAAGCTTTTTTTCTTTTTTCTTTTTTTAAAGAAATATACTAGGATTGGTTCGTAAAGGAGATTCACCACCTCAGATTTCACTGTTTTCGTAGGGGTGATGGTCATGGGATACTATTTTAAGGACTTCCTTCTCTTATACAGATTTTTCCACACTGGGAGGACAGATAAGGTATATTCCACTAATGTTCCTCATTAAACACACATGCGTGCCAGCAGTCATTTCCCTTTGTCTTGCTATCCCATGACAACAGATTGCATGTCATCGGAAATTGGAATGGAGACTTTATTTAGTTTGGATCTCTCTTCTCCATTGTTTAATTCCACATTCAATTTTTCTTTCTACTATGATCATTCCTATTGTTCATTAAAGATTCACATCATAGACTTTTCAGAACCATTTGACCAGCACCCTATCCCATCCCAAGCATTTATGCTGCTGCATAAATTTCTGAGCTGAAAAGTACTAGGTACTCAGTAAAGATCTGATGACTGATGGGCATATATGTGTCGTAAATGTGCACTCCCAGACTTTGTTTACTGTTGATCAAGTTCCAGTATTGGAACAGGAGCATCCCTGTTTCCTTTATTGCTGTAATGCATAGATGTCTTAGTGGTGTTCTTGTCTCATTCACCCTTCAACCTAGACCACCTGTCCATTAAAACAAACAAATAAACAAACAAACAAACACAAAAAAGGCTCCCACCAAGCACCAGTAAAGGAGGTCTAAGGGAACAGAGAAAGTTTCACATTTCCTGTTGTTGAATCTAGGCATGGCCTTTAGAGGAAGCTGGATGCCTTCTCAATCCAGTATGCTGTTCTCTGATGCTATCATCGTTGTTTTTCTTTAAGACTGCAAAGCTATGATGGCAAACTTTTAAAACGATCCCAGCTTTTTGGTTTTTGAGTATCAACTTTTATCCAAATGTTGCTAAGACTTTTTTCCTTTCGTTTGAAAATGTAATTTTAAATATTTTGTTTTTCTAAATGAGATCTATTAGATCAAAGAACAAATGTTCTTTTCATTTATCAAACATTAACTGTGTGCCAGGCATTGGGTAATAGCTGCCATACTCATTATTTTATTTATTCCCTTACAACCACTCTGTGAAGGAGACGCTGACACAGGAGGACACTGAGAGAGGTTAAGTAAGCCATTTGCCCAAGACCACACACCTAGTGTGGGGTTCTTTCTACCACTCCATCCAAACCCATCCAACTTTTATCAAAGTCCATGAGTTTGGCCATCCAGAAAACATTTTCTAAGAACACAAGGTAGGGGCTGTATTTGCACTCTGTGAAGCCCATACCTCACTAAAGGAATCAGCCCTTAGGTAGCAAAGAGGCCAGACTCACTTAAGACACTATAACCTAGCTGTTAGGAGCAGGTCTGGATGCCACATAGCCCTGCTCACCTACTCACTGGACCTGAGATCACAGGAAAGTTATCTATTCTCTTTGAGACTCAGTTTCCATATCTATAAAATGGAGATAACAATATAGGTTGAAGTCTACAAAACTGCCAACTTGCAACCATTTTTGACTTCCAACAAAGCATTTTCAAATGGTTCTACCTAAATTCTTCACTGCATCGTTGTAGGACTGCACACAAGAAACAATAAATGGCATTTTAGTATACGTTCTCTCCCTGATTTCATTTTTGTTCAGGTCAGTGAAGTTAGTCCATACTCTCTGCCTACACTTCTATGCAGAGAAGCCAGACCAGGGATATGTAGGTGTTGCAGCTTAAAATGCAGGGAGACCGTACGACTGTGTGGCCAGTCAAGAACTATCAAAGGATCTTCTGAGGCCTTACTGCTCCGCATAATTTTTCCCTTAGTCTCTTAATTACTAGACAAACTTACAAATACTTTTTTTTTTTTTTTTTAGAAAGTGGAAGGAGGGGATATGGAGGAAATTTAGCACTCTGTGTTAAAGACAAAGGTCTTAAAATCAATATTCTTGCGCTCCCACCCCACCCCAAGTCTGGCAGGGCGGGCCCTGACTTTGATACAAACCAGGGCTCCCAGCCATCAGCACTAGCTCCAATGCGGCTGGTGCACCCTGCCCCGCCCACGCCGGTAGAACAGCCAGAGTTAGCATTACCTGCTATGCGTTGTTTACTTCCTCGCCGGGTGCCTGGCCCTGCTCTTGGCCTCTCACTTGCCTTAACTTATTTTCTACCCAGAACATTCCGGATAAAAGGGAACTCTCATTTTCCCTATTTTCCAAGTGAAGAAACAAGTTGAGTCACTCGTCCAAGGTCTCCAAGCTGTGGAGTCGCACTCGAACCCGAGCAGCCCCAGGACTCACACTCGGAACCTCTCCTTTTCCTACTTGGGTAGAGGCGGCTTTTCACCTAAACCATCCTCCAGACTTGGTCACCCCCAAGAGAAAGGGCTCTGCCTCGCTGACCCGCACGACCTCGCCCGCGCTCCGCAAGTTCCGGGCGGCGGGCGTGGAGCCCGAGGAGGAGGAGGAGGAGTGACACCGCCCCCGGGGTATTTAACCCCAGCTTGGAGCCTGCGAGGCGCCGGCCGCTCCCGCTTCTCCCTGCTCTCTCCTGCCCTCCCTCCTCCCGACTCTCTCCCGGCGCGCCCCACCCTCCTCCCCGCGCTCGCCTCG